ATTTGCCGCAGCAAAATTTCTCTCCTTATCAAGTTGCTTATTGTATCCTCAGCTAGCCGTCGCAAAGGGCTGATAAGAAATTATTACCCGCGACAAATCCACATTATTTCCCCGACAGGCAGATATCAGTTTGTCGGGAAAATAATGAGCATTCTGTCGCGACGAAAATCGCATCGCCGCCGAGAAAATGAATTGTGTTGTGGAAAAATAAAATTTATTTTAGACGCAACGACATTGTGTTCATTATTTTCCCGACAGACTTGATAGTCTATAGTTAATCAATAGCATTATGTCGGGAAAATAATGTGGGTTTATTTATCCTAGAAAAATGCGTCATCTAACCGCGCCAAATCCCCCCACCGCGGTAGTCGTCGCAAAGCGCTGAAGGGCGATTCCAAGCCGTGGAAAATCCACATTATTTTCCCGACAGACTGTTAAGCCGAAGAATAATATTTTCGAGCTTGAATCCTACATCATGCTCAATATTTTCCCGACAGACTAATATTAGCATTTTCACAAAGTGCCTGGAGGTTTCTCGCGGTTCGCACCGTGCACGAAAATTCGCGAGTTGCACCGTGCACTCACTTTTTTTTGGTTTTGCACTGTGCATTTGAAATATCGCTGCGACGTAAGCTTTTCTCAACTGCTGCGGTTTTGATCAACTAAATGTGCACAGTGCAATCGGCTTTTTTGAGGTTTGCACGGCGCACGTCAAACTGAGGAGTCCGGTGACCGGAATAGACCTTTCGCTATCGGTTTTTTACACTTCGTCTTGATTTTGCAGAGAAAGAGGGAAAAAAGACATGCAAAAGCGTGCTCTCTCGCCCCAAAAATTCCCCATTTCTTCCCCGACAATACGTTTTTTCGCGTCTTTTTTTGGCAAATTGCCAATCCAGTCACCGAACTTTTCTTTCAGTTTGATGTGCGGTGCGCAAAGCCAAAAATCTACAGTGCGTTGGCGAAAAAAGTTCAAATTTGATTTTGTTTAAAAATGTGCACAGTGCAACCGGCTTTTTTGAGATGCGTTGGCGACAAAACTTCAAGATGCACTGTGCGAAAGCGAAAAAATGTCCAGGCACTTTGTGAAAATGCTAACAGTTAGCGAAACACGTCATTAACCTCACATGTCCTTCTTCACATCCCATTTGACAAATTGCTCGTTCCACCGATCTTTGGTCGCTTTTTATCACGGAGATTTTTGATCTCCTTCCCATCCATGTTGCCTCCTCTGTTTTGCTCCGATCTGTGACAATCCCCCGGCCAACACTTCATCATGCTCCCTTCAACGAGGCGCTTTTGATTGATCCGTGGGTCTGGGCCGTTTATGTTTCTGTACTTTTACCATTTTTTTTCGGTGTGCAGCTAATTGTCCGCTTAGCAAAATGTTGCCTCAGCTTTGGGGGGTTTTGACCTCGTTTTTGATGAGAGCTTTTCGCCGCGGTTTGAAAAGCTCAAAGAATATCAGTTCTTTGGTCATTTCTGATCACTCGTTGCACTGCCGTTGGTGGAAAAAATGATGGGCAACTTGTATGCCTCAAAAATGGTTGATATGAGTCTGTCGGGAAAATAATGTGGACCTGTCGCAGCGAAATTTCTCGCCTCCTCGGAGTCGCGCAGCAAATATCAAGGTCATTGCAAGGCGCGACAAATCCACATTATTTTCCCGACAGACTAATATCAGTGCGTCGGGAAAATAATGTGGATTCGGCGCAACGAAAAGCCTAGGCCGTCGCAAAGCGATGATGGGCGATTCCAAGGCGCAACAAATCGTCCTTATTTTCCCTACAAGCTGATATAAAGCTGTCGGGAAAATATGGATTTTTTGCAGCAAAATTGCACATCCACACTTTTCGCAAAAAGCGATGATGGGCGATTCCAAGGTACGAAAGATTCTCATTATTTTCCCGACAGATATGGTATGATTTACTGCAGTTGTCATACAAGTCATTTCAGAAAGCGCATGGTCAATTTTTGCCTCAGTTCGCACAATTCATTTTCCCGGCGGCGATGCGATTTTCGACGCGAAATTGTGCTCATTATTTTCCCGACACATTATGGCCATCTCTCTCGCACAGCACTGTGCACAAAAAACGCTTCTTTTTGCACCGTGCATTTTGTTTTTTTTTTGGTTTTTGTGCAAACTGAACTTTCGTTTCCGCACCGTGCGTTTCATTTTTTTTTGCACTGTGCGAAAGGAGGAAAGTGCACTGTGCGTTGGCGACAAGCGTGGGAAAAATTTGCAAAGTGCACTGTGCAACGGGGAAGAAAACAAAAGGCCCCTCCCTTCATGCACCGTGCATTTCACTTATTGGTTTTGCACTGTGCGGCGAAATGTCGCTGCGACGTCGCCAAGAATTTGCACAGTGCAAAAGCTTTTTTTTTTATTTGCACTGTGCGAAAAGAGAAAAATAAAGAATGCACTGTGCGTTGGCGACAAGCGTGGGAAATTGTTCAAAGTGCACTGTGCTCAAGCGAGCCAATGTTCATGCACTTTATGAAAGTACTAATAGTGCTAAGAGTTTAGTTGGAGGCCTCTGAAGGCCCTTGCTCAATTTTGTCTAATTCTACCCGCCCTTCACACATATATTTTCGATGTTAAACTTTTTTCAGCCCTCTCTATTCACACGTAATTTTTCCTCCTCCTCCAACGCCTCAATCTAATCGACTTGCTGTTTACGTCGCTACAGTAATTCCGAATCAGGTTCCGGGCCGGAAAATTGCCGATTAATGGGCGGCCGAACGAACGGGTTTCAATCTGTGGCCGCGGCGGCACTCGGCCAGAAACAATGAGTTTCAAGGAGCGGGGACGCTCTAATCAAATCACTGCCCCCCCCCTTCTCGCGTCTTCCTGTTGTCGCCGGGGGTGGGTTAAAAATAGAGCGCCGCGCCAGGCCCGAGGCAATGATGGGTGGACTACTTTTCCGCTTCATCAAACCTATTGGCTCAACGTGCGCTCGGCCGGAAATGAAATTATGCCCTGAGGCGACCCCAAAACTCCGTTTTGCGACTGTAACGGGCTCTTGGCCGTCTTGCGGTGGGCAGGGATGTTTTTGAAACTTTTTCCCTTTTTTTTTCTGACGAATTTTTTTGTAAAGGGCGACTTTTTTTTTGATGAGCTGAATCTTCAAGCTGACTTGATGCACTTGTGGAAATTTGATGAAAATGTGGATATCAGTCTGTCGGGAAAATAATGTGGATTCGTCGCGCCTTGGAATCGCCCATTATTGCTTTGCGATTGCTGGCGGTGGCTGGAAATTTTATGGGGCAACTGCAAGCGACCAATTTTGTTGCGACAAATCCACATTATTTTCCCGACAGACTGATAATAGAAATGCTTTAAATGCGACGTTCAGACTTTGATGAAATTTGGCTAAAATTTAGGGTTCATTTTTTTTTTTTTTTTTTTTTTTTTTGAAGATAGATCCAACAGTCGTTCCTTGGGCTTTGCAGAAACGGCCAAGATTTTTAGGGCGAAATATAACAAATAAGGTAATTTTTTTTTATTTTTCGCACGGTAAAAGTGCATGAGTATGTATTTATGCATTTATATACACATTTTTTCGCATAAAAAAGCAATTTTTTCTCGCATAACTGGCAAAAGTATGGCCGAAAAATATTTTTCTCTCTGATCGCTCTCCGCATTTAACATACTCTCTGGTCCGCAAAAGTTTGTATTTTCAAAAGAAAAAAGTTCCGCACTGTGCACAAAAACCCCTGAATTTTTTTGCACCGTGCATTCCACTTTTCCTTTTTTGATTTTTGCACTGTGCGGCGAAATGCCGCCGACTCGGCGCCAAAAATTTGCACTGTGCAAGCGGCTTCTTTTGAGGTTTGCACTGTACAAAAAAAAAGAAAATGCACTGTGCGTTCGCGACAAGCGTGGGAAAAGGTTCAAGATGCACTGTGCGAAAGCAAAAAAATGTCTGCACAGTGCAAACTGCTTTTTTGAGGTTTGCACCGTGCGAAAAAGGAAACGATATTATTGAAAAATACTAATAGTGCGTGTGTGCAAGGTGGGAGTCAAAAATTTCCGATATGACTTTGAAGAGGCCTCTAATATAATATTAATTTTAGGCCGGCTTCGGAACGACCTATTTTTGTTTTTTTCGCTTATTCTTTATTCAAACCTCCTTTCAAACCAATCTATCGACAAAACCTCCTTTTGTGTAGGCATCTTTTTCGAAAGTGCGTAGACTTTCTTCACAGTGCATTTTTCGTTTTCAATCATTGCTTTCGCACGGTGCGGGCTTTGCAAGGCATTCCAAAGGTCGCTGAATCCACACTATTTTCCCGACAAACCAATATTATTTTGTCGGGAAAATAATGTGGATTTTTCGCAGCAAAATTTCTCGCCTTATGGCATCAAATCTGCAGCCTAGCCGTCGCAAACTGCTGACGATTCCAAAGCCCTACGAATCCACAATATTTTCCCGACAAGCCAATATTATTTTGGCAGGAAAATAATGTGGATTTGTCGCAGCAAAATGTCTCGCCTTACGGCACGGAATCTTCAGCCTAGCCGTCGTGCTGACAATTCTAAAGCATTATGAATCCACACTATTTTCCCGACGAACCAATATTATTTTGTCGGAAAAATAATGTGGATTTGTCGCAGCAAAATATCTCGCCTTACGGCACGGAATCTTCAGCCTAGCCGTCGTGCTGACGATTCCAAAGCCCTACGAATCCACACTATTTTCCCGACAAACCAATATTAGTTTGTCGGTAAAATAATGTGGATTTGTCGCGGAAAAATTCTTGCCTCATCGCACCAAATTTTCAGGCGGCTAGCCATCTCAAAGTGCTGCCGGTTCTAAGCCGAATCCACACTATTTTCCCGACAGACTGAAGAAAGAATGCGGAAGCTTTCCCCTTCTCCACGCCATGCCGCTATTCCCGCCAGCCATTTTGATTTTTCCCCCCACAAAATATTTTCTCCCCGAGTGCATGATGGCCGGCTGACAAGCGGATGGATCCGTTTCGCCCCGGCCGCAGACCCATCAATTGGACGCGGTAAACACTCCGGCGAGAGGACTCGGAACGTCCGAACCAAATGCGTTTAGGTGGTGTCCGCGTGGTGCGAATTGCCCTCTGGGCAATTCGGTGTGAGTGCAAGTGTCTGGAGTCTGTTTTGTATTCCGTTCGACCAAATGGACCCAGAGTAATTCGGGGTGTGGGGAGGCGATTTTGATGATTATTCGTCTACCAGCGCTTTCATAAAGTGCATGGACATTTGCCGCGCCTCGCATCGTGCACGAGAACCTCTCATTCGTGCACTGTGCATTTCAATTTTTTTTGGTTTTTGCACTGTGCGGTGAAATGTCGCGGCGATAGAAATTTGCACTGTGCAAACGGTTCTTTTGAGGTTTGCACAGTGCGAAAGGAAAGAAATGCACTGTGCGTTGGCGACAAGCGTGGGAAAATGTTCAATATGCACTGTGCAAAAGCGAAAAATGTCTGCACAGTGCAAACGGCTTTTTTCAAATTTGCACAGTGCGAAAAAGTGAAATGCACTGTGCGCTGGCGACAAGCGTAGGAAAATGTTCAAAGTGCACTGTGCAAAAGCAAAAAAATGTCTGCACAGTGCAAACCGCTTTTTTTGAATATTGCACAGTGCAAAAATAGGAAAATAAAAATGCACTGTGCGTTGGCGACAAACGTAGGAAAATGTTCCAGATGCACTGTGCAAAAGCAGAAAAAATGTCTGCACGGTGCAAAAGGCTGATGGAAATACAACTGATATTTTCATAAAGTGCGTAGATTTTTTTTTTTTGATTTTTTTTCTTCAGGGCATTGCGCTTTTGTCTTTTTCGCGCAACGCGATCAGTTTCAAAACATTTTGAATTTCTGCACTGTGCAATTGACTCAGTTTCGCGTCAGCGTAATGAGAAAAAGCTTGCGTAGCAGCGATTTTATATTTTTCGCAACGGAAAATATCAAATTCACTGTGATAAATGGAATTTTTCTTGCACAGTGCAACGCATGATTAAAAGTCGACCCACCTTATGAAAGTATGTATTTACTATAAGTAGTATCAGTCTGTCGGAAAAATAATGAGCACAATGTCGCTGCGTCAATCGCGTCGCTAAAGTGAAAGCAATTTGATTTTGCCGCGACACAATTCATTTTCTCGGCGATGAGGCAATTTTCGTTGCGACTGGATGCTCATTATTTTCCCGACAGACTGACACTACATATTGTATTATATGTAGTCTAAGGGCAGGCCCAAAGCAATATGTTTTTGCAAAGCAGGCACAATTACGGGTATTTGTTGACCGCCAATTTGACTTTTCCCCTTGAGGGAAGGCGAAAATTACCGGAACTTATTACTTTTGGAGAACATTTGTTGCCAAAAAAATCCCACTTGACCTTTTGCATACAAAAGTACGCCACTCTCGAGGCTTTTGGCATTTTAAATTTTTGGTTTCCTTAGATTTTTCTACCGTATTTTTGGTGCTTTTGACCTTTTTTGTGAAGCTAATAAAAGTTCATTTGCTTTCGCGTGTTTTCGAATGTATTTTATTTGTCCGCTTAGCAAGCTGAAAACTTATAAAAAAAAACAAATAGCCGGCTAGAAAGATTGACAGAGCGGGCTGACAAGCGATGCCCTGTACAGTGAGGGACCGGATCCAATGGCAAAAAACGTCTCATTTTGCATTCCGGAAGGGACCAAAATGTCTCCAAACGCTTCCCTTCTCTAAGTTTAAAAACCCAGCTTTGAATATCCCGCCTTGAAGGAAAGGGCGCGCTTTTCAAAGCGGAGTTTTTTAGCTTAGAGAAGTGAAGGGTTTGGAGACGTTTTGGTCCCTTCCGGGCTGCAAAATGAGACGTTTTTTGCCAATGGATCCGGTCCCTCACTGTAGGTAAAAATTGGGTTTTCATAAAGCGCCTGGAGATTAACGAAAATCGTTTATATGCATTGCGTCGCGACAAAATCAGATTGCTTTTCAACTCAGCGACGAGATGCGCACATTTGCTCATTATTTTCCCGACAGGCTGAAATTGTAGAATTTTCATAAAGTGCGTCGATTTTTCTTCACTCTCCTTTCGCACCGTGAATTAAATTATCGCTTTCGCACGGTGCAAACTGCTTTTTCGTTTGATGTTTGCACTGTGCGAAAACAGCAAAATGCACTGCGTCAGCAAAAAATCAAGAAAAAAACCAAATCCACTGTGCGTTCGCGATAAAAAGGCGAAAAAATGCCTTTGCACTTTATGAAAAGAGTAGGAAGTAACCAGCACAAACTTAACCTTACCATGATTCAGTTTGTAGTTTCGGCTTCAAAGCCGTCAGCAATGAATGGGTTCCAAAGAACATGGGTTCAATAACGTCAAACTTTCCCTTACTCGGTTAGTAAATGCGAAAAATTTAACATTTTATGAAAATACCAGTCTGTCGGGAAAATAATGTGGATTTTTTGCGGCTTCGAATCGCAAGTTGCGCACCGAATTTGCAGCTGCGGCTTCAAAGCGATGATGGGCGATTTCGAGGCGCGACGAACCCACATTATTTTCCCGACACACTGATAGTGTTCGTACTAGGCGTTCCGCGAAGTTGCCGGGCTGAAATCGACGACTAGCATTATGAAAAAAATAGATGTTCGCTTTGAACTTTGCTATTTCTTGCCTTTTCACCGTGAAATAAGCTTTTTTTCGGCTGTATCCCTGACTTTTATGCACTCTGCAAACGTCAAAAATTCGTCCGCGGCTTTCCGAAAGGCTTTGCAAAACACAAAAAAGATACTAATATTTTTCCAAAACATGGCTTGCAGGGGAAGTACTCCAAGTGCGACGCTCAGATTTTCTTTAAATTTTGCACACACGTCGGGTGTGGACTAAACATCAATTCCTGACAGTTTTAGCTCGCGCTTTGCCGGCGCCGCCAAGATATCGAACGATTTTTGCCGCCGGGAGAGAACGCTAAACGCGGAGATCGGTCAGAGAGAAAAACGCTTTTTGGCCATAACGTTGCCACTTTCACGCGGAAAATTTTGATTTTTTGTAGGAACATTATCCTTTACAGTAGAAATAAGCATGAAACTTTTCGTGCCAAAATTCGGCAAAAAGTCCTAAACTTTTGCCGACTTTCGATCTAAAAATCTCGGTTGTTTCTGCAAAGCGCAAGCTAGGATTCTCGCATATATCTTGGAAAAAATTGCTCTAAATTTGTGCCAAGTTTCATCAAAATCTGATCGTCGCACTTGGAGTACTTCCCCTGTTAGTACATGTGTTTCGGTATCCTAAAAAGTGCTGATACTTAACTGAGCAGAGCGTCACTTTTTTTTATCAAATCTCCGGACACTTGGACTTGCATAAATACATTTATTTCTCTATGCGTAAACATTTCCATAGTTCGCCGGTTGGAGTCTAAAGCCCATTGTATTTTTCCCCCTACATTCCCATTTATTTCCATTTATTGTCATCTAATTAGACACCAAAAATGCGCCTACCTTTTCGCGAAACACCTCCTCAAAAGTTCAACAGCACCGCTGGCAATTACAATCCGGCGGCGTGTGTTTTCCGCCTGTTACATACACTCCGGCTAACCGAGTTTTTGTTGTCCGAATGTAATCAACAAATGTAATGTTCCGTTTGCCCCGAACCCACCAATTTGGGCGGTGATTGCGCCGCGTTTTTCTTGCGCATTCCCGGTGCACTTTACCGAGTTTTGGGCAAAATACCACGCCACGTGGGTTGACGTGTGCTGAGGGAGGGCTTAGCGGTGCAGTTGACGGGCTGGCTGCAAGCTGAAAGTAATGGGAAATGCGCGATTTCCCGATGCATGGATTTGCCTCAATTTTGCAGACATGCATGATTCATATATTAGGGTGTCCCATAAGTCTTGCAAAATTTTGGGTCGTCGATTTCTGCGAATTCTTGTAAGCTTTGGAACGCATTACGGAGTATGCGGGATAAACGGTTTTGAAGCCCAGATAAAGCCCTTCTAAATCGTATATGACAACGCCACATAAGGTCCACCTGCTACCCACACTGCCCCGATATTGTACTAGACATTAAGAAAAATTTTCCCTGCTGATCTTAAAGTGGATATATACTTTGTGAAAATAGATCTGGTGGCCCACCACAGGTTTCAACAGTACCAAACATTAAGGAGTACAGTTCCATAGGCCCTCCAAATGAGACGTTGATTCTTAAACCCAAAAATTTTCTAGACTTATGAGACATACTAACAGTAATTGCTGGAAATTTTAGCTTGTGCTTTGCTTCTCTATTACCCAAAATTTGCTTGTCTTTGCGCAAGTTAACGAATGAATAAAAGTGAAATTAGCAGAGGCTATTTTGAATATCTTTTTGGAAGCTTTGTTTAGAGATTCTTGCGCAAATTTGGGTCCATTTTGAGAGGATGGGAAAAACAAAATTTTTCGAAAAATTTGAATTTTTATAAATTCACATCTCGGGTGTAGGCCACACATCAATTCCCGAAGGTTTTAGCTCTCGCTTTTTAGCGACAGCTGAGATATTCCACGATCTTTGAGGGCTGAGAGAGCTCGCGAAATGCGGATAGACAAAGAGAAAGGCAATTTTTAGCAATATCTTTGCCATTTTCGCGCGGAAAAAGTTGTTTTTTTTTGGTGAAAACGTTGAATCTGCGGTAGAAATAGGCATAAAACTTTCCATGCCATAAATTCTCAAAAATTTGTCAAATTTTCATCAACTTTTTTGGCAAAAAAAGAACCTTGGTTTTTTTGCAAAAGCGACTGAAAGCTATGAATCTCACATGAATATCCCCACAAAAAAATCAGTTTTTTTCCGCACGAAACTGCGGAAGATACGGCCAAAAAATGTTTTTTCTCTGACCGCTCTCCGCCTTTTCCGTACTCTCTCTCTGCAGATCGTTCGATATCTCGGCGGCGCCCGCAAAGCGCGTGCTAAAACTTTCAGGAATTGATGTGTGGCGCATTCCCGAGTAGTGAACGTGAACTATACTCGAGGAGTGAACATGAACTTGTAAAAGTTCAAATTTTTAAAAAAAAATTTTGTTTTTCCCATCCTCTCAAATTGGCCCCAAAATTTGCGCAAGAATCTCCAAACAAAGCCTCCAAAAAGATATTCACAATAGCCTCCGCTAATTCCCTTTTTATTCATTCGTTAATTTGCGCAAAAACAAGCAAATTTTCGGTAATTGGACCGTATTTCCGGCTGGAATTTTCTGTTCATTGACCAAACACGACGCAATGTGCGTACTAGGCGGGCCAAAACATCTTTACACTTTTTTGGACTGTGCGGG